AAATATGAAGCAAAGGCAATGTCAATATTAGAGAAAATGAATGGTGAGTACACTTGGATATTAATTAAATGAGTTAATATTTGTAAAATCTTTTTAAAAAAAAAAGTGCCCAGAATCTGCAAGCACCATATAAGTGGATACAAAAATATATGCAGTATTATTACCCTAAAGATTTGAAATATTTAATTAAGAAATTTCATAGACCACCCCTCCACCTCACACAATTAACAAAAGTTAACTCAAAATAGATCAATGACCTAAATATAACAGCTAAAACTACAAAACTTTCAGAATAAAACACAGGGGCAAATCTTCATTACCTTCATTTGGCAATGGATTCTTAGGTATGACACCAAAACCAGAGGCAACAAAAGAAAAACTCACTAAATTAAATTAATCAAAATTTAAAACTTTTTTGTATCAAAGGATATTATCAAGAATGGGAAAAGACAATCTAGAGAATGGTAGAAAACATTTGCAAATCATATACCTAATAGTGTCTAGTATTCAGAGTACATAAAGAACTCTTCGGGTCACCTGGATGGCTCAGTCAGTTGAGTGTCTGACTAGGGATCAGGTCATGATCCCAGCATTGTGGTGTGGAGCCCTACATCAGGCTCTGCACTGAGCTGAGCGTGGAACCTGTTTAAATTCTCTCTCTCTCTTTCTCTCTCTTTCTCTGCCCCCTCCCCCATTCGCATCCGCTCTCTAATATAAAAAAAAAAAAGAACTCTTAAAACTCAACAACAAAAAAGACAACCCAATTTTAAAATAAGCAAAAGAAGTTAATAAACACTTCTTCAAGAAAGATACAAAAATAACCAAAAAAACATTTTAAACTGCTCAATATTATCATTAGGGAAATAACAAATTAAAACCACAATGAGGTAGCAGTTCACACCTATTGAGATGGCCAGAACCAAAAAGAAAAAAAAAAAGGAAATAGCTTAGAAACTCCTCAAAATGGTAAATACAGAATTACCACATTACCCAGCAATTCCACTCCTATATACAAGCCCAACAAAACTGAATACAAGTACCCAAACAAATACTGATACACAAGTGTTCATTGCAGCACTATTCACAATAGTGAATTGGCACAATAGCAAAAAGGTGGGAAAATCCAAATGTCCATAAACAGATAAATGGATAAACAAAGTGTGTTAAGTGCTATATACCATATAGACAACAAATTACTCAGAAATGGGGTATTAATACAACATGGATGAACCGCAAAAACATTATGCTAAGTGACTGAAATCAGACACAAAAGGCTGCACATATGATATCATTAATATGAAATATCCAAAACAGGTGACTCAATAGAGACAGCAGACTGTGTCTGCTAGAGGCTGGGGAAAAGGGAAAATGAGAATGATTGCTTAACGGGTTCTGGGTTTCCTTCTGAGGTGATCAAAGTATTCTGGAACTAGATAGAGTTCTACAACATTACAAGTATACTAAATGCCACTAATTATACTTTAAAATGGTTACTTTTACGTTATGTAAGTTTCACCTCAATAAAACAATAATCAAAAAGAAGTGTTTTAAAAATGTTTGAAAGTGTCCAGTGCAGTTCCTACTATGCTACATTACCAGTACTTAACAGTGGTTACTATTATTGTTACTATTATACTTTGCTCCCTATATCACAGTGTATCATTGAAGTAATTGGTCCATAAACACATGTAGTCACTATGATATCTATGATATTGACATAACAGCCTCAATTCCAGGATCTTAACCTATAAATTTCACTTTCTTACTATGATTTTGTAGTAAGATTTTGATCCTTCTATTTGTACTAAGCTATCATTCCCAAAGTATACACATATGCGTGCGTGTACATGCACACTTCATCAATAGGTGCATTCTCGAATATTTTATAAAGTGGAGAAAAAAAGTATATGCTGGTTAAAGAATAAGATCCAGCCTTATAATTCCCAATTCACCACCTAAACAATCTGCTGAATTATTTTCCTCAGCTGAAAGTAACTATAATGATAATATCCATGGTCCTTCTATGTGAGAGAAAAATCATCCAAAAATTTCATGTATACGTTGCCTCACTTGTCCATAAGATTTTCTACTCCTAAGTATTTTGTAGAAATCAAACAATAAAACATTTTGCAATTTGACTAGATTCTAAGTGCTCAGAGGACTTCTCATCAACCATATGTTAATCACACTGTATGTTAATGACTGTGACACTGAGAATAACCTTGTGGCATTTCCCACCTCCACTATTTATAACAAAAGAACCAAGATCAGTAACAAACACCTAACTTTGGAACTATAGAAAATAAACTCAGGATACCAACGAAGATAAAGTCTCGTACAAAAGGTACTCTACAATTATCCTTAACTAATATGACTGGGGGAATGAATCACATATACTAAATAAGAAGGAGATTATTTTACACCATTTGCTTTAAAAAGAAACTAGTCCTAAAAAGAAATTAGTAAAATGTACCTCTTCTGCATAACAGACAAAAGAAACTTAAAATATCTAAATGCCTCATGAAAACCATCAGCACTTAATAAACAAACACTTTTTCCCATTCAGCAGAACAGAAAATGAATATTCATTTCAACTTGTCCTGTGATTCAGGACAGAGTGGCCCATTTAATGCTTATTTTCAATTATTTTATTTTAAGGCTGATTTTCCATTTTTCATGCCCAATTTGGGCAAACTGTTGGAATGAAAGGTATAACCTCAAGTTGTCTTTATTAAATCCATAATTAAAATATTGATACTCTCACTTTTATTAACTATCTTTTAATGATGTCTACACACGTAGTTTTTTTTTTTTTTTAATGTTTTGATTTATTTTAAAGAGAGAGACAGAGGGGCGCCTGGGTGGCTTAGTCTGTTAAGCGTCCGACTTTCGCTTAGGTCATGATCTCACGGTTCGTGGGTTCGAGCCCCGCGTCGGGCTCTGTGCTCGGCCAGCTCGGAGCCTGGAGCCTGTTTCAGTCTGTGACTCCCTCTCTCTCTGACCCTCCCCTGCTCACGCTGTCTCTCTCTCTCTCTCCTAGAAATAAATAAAAACATTAAAAAATTTAAAAATAAATAAATAAATAAATAAATAAAAAAATAAAGAGAGAGACAGACTGTGAGCAGGGGAGGGAAAGAAAAAGAGGGAGACACAGAATCTGAAGCCGGCTCCAGGCCCTGAGCTGTCCGCACAGAGCTCGATGAAGGGCTTGAAATCACTGACCACGACATGACCTGAGCCAAAATCAGTCGCTTAACCGACTAAGCCACCCAGACACCCTGTCCCGTGGAAGAGTAATATTCATGTAATATTTAGTAATATTCATGTAAGCCCCTATCAGGGAAGCACATCCAGATTAATGGATCTTGCATAATACTGCAACACTACCTTTACTACAATCGTTCTGAATTCTCGTAATATAAAAGTAAAGCATCTTGAAATGATCGTGCAGAGCCTCTCTTACCACAAGATTGGACACAACATTAAAGGCAATTTGGCTGCCTTCTCCATTAGCTAGGCCTACTTTTGGTAGGAGATGCACACAGTCAATGATACGGAGGCTGGCAAAGGGAAAAGAAAGTCTTCCCTGAATAGCAGGAAAAAGTAACTTCACGCTTTACAAAACAGTGGTTACTTTGTTCATATAGTTAGTCTATATGACAACAATGTGTTGGACTGAGTCATGTAAATACCAAAACGTACATACCCTTCTAAGGAAAACTACTTCAATAGAATTATTACATGTTGCCTTTTAAAGTGAGTAACATTAACTCTGCTCTTCATTTATTAAACCCGTAATTTAACAATATGCTTCCCATTTCAAAATTTTAAAAATTGTATCCTTTGCTAGTAACATCAAATACATCCCTAATTCTTTAAGTAGAATTATATGTCATATAGCTAACAACAGCACTTGTAAAAGTTAAAAAAAAAAAAAAATGAGGGTACAGGTAAAGAAATGTCTTAATTTAAAATATAAAAAGATAAATTTGGGTAAACATTTTAGAAGTGACTGATACTGTCTCATGTTGAGTTGTTAATTTGCTTAATGAGTTTATTTTAAGGATCAAAATTAAGAGAGATTCAGAATAAACACATGATACACAAAACAAAAGAACTCTGTATTGGCAGTGTGGCCTATGAATTAAAAAAAAACTCAGGAAGACTTGTTATCAAACCCAAGCTCTATGACTTACTATTAATGAAACCTTGGATAAGTCTGCTCACTTGTCTGAGACTCACTTTCTCTGGCTATGAAATGGGAATAAAACTGCCTACCTTGAAAGGTACTGGTTGGAATTCAATAAAACAGACAGGGAGTTATTAGAAACTCTGCACATGCATCTGCATGATGCTAGGCTCAAAGGCTTCTACAATTTTTATCACAAAAAGAATATGAACAGTATTTCACAGCACACTAAAAGCATCAGGAATTCAATCTAGATCACTGGCAGCAAAACAACAATGTACGTGGAAAAGTCATTCAATTATTTTAGACTCTAAACCTATAAAAGAAATGGTTTGAACTAGATAAAATCTAAGGTACACGGAGTTTCTGAACTTCTAGGATTCTATCTTAAAGTGATACCCAGAAAGTCACTACCACATTTTACTCCAAAATTTATTACAATAAATAACCCAGAGGACAAATTCTAAGAATATCAAATGAAACAAAGAGGCAGTGGATATTAAGAATCTGGAAAGAGGTGCCTGGGTGGCTTGGCTCAGTCAGTTAAGTCAGCTAAGCCAACTCTTGATTTTGGCTCAGGTCATTATCTCACAGGTTCCTGGGTTCAAGTCGAGAGTAGGGCTCTGCACTGACAGGGTGGAGCCTGCTTGGGATTCTCTCTCTCCCTCTATCTAACCAGCTCTCATACACGCAAATGCTCTCTCTCGAAAAATAAACTGTAAAAAAAAAAAAAAAATCTTACCAGAGTTATACACAAAGATGTTTAATGCTAATTCTAATGGGGAAAGCTTAGCTACAAATCAAGACTTACAAATCAAGTTCTCAAAAACTTCATGATGTGGAGAGCACTTACAATGTAATGCTGTTGAAAAGAGAAAAATATACAATATTTACAATTTTGTTTTTCAAATGTTTGCAAAAGAAAAAGACTAAACGAAAAACCAGCAAAATGTTTGCAGAACTTACTTCAGGTTAATAGAAATGAGTTGGGTTTTTTTTCTTCATAGGATTATTTCCCAACTTTCTACTATAATCAACTATGATTTCCACAATGAAAAAAAATACAAATACAATATTCATCCATGCTAAAATATCTGTATCAGCAATCTAGAAGCTAAGAGAACTTCCCCCATCTGAAGAAAACGGTCTACAAAAACCTACAGCTAACTATTTAATGGTAAAAGACTACATGCCTTACCTACTAAGAGAAAAAACAAAGCAAGGATGCATGCTCATACTTGTCCCATTCAACATCAGACTGGAGGTTCTGGCCAGTGCAATCAGACAAGAAAATGAAATACAGCTGACCCTTGAACTACCTGAGGGTTGGAGGAACCAATCCTCTCACAGTCAAAGATCCGTATATAACTTGTGACCTAATGATGATTTTAATTATAAATTATACCTCAATAAACCTAAATGTCAAAGGACATAGGACACATCAAATTAAATGAGCTAACCCCAGTTCACTGGGTTTCGGGTGGGGGTAAGACAGTGAGGAAATATCCTTAGAAATATTGTAAATCAAAATAATCAATTCATAACCAAGATTTATCAATAAGAACAGATATTGATACAAAGAATCTAAAGAGAGTTGCCTTTTTTATTATGTTCTCATTGTTTGAACAGAAACTAACAAAATTTGAGAAGCTTACAAGACCGAAAGTCACAAGCAACAGGTTGATAAGGGAGCATTGTGATTATGAGCCAGAATTCAGAAACAACTTACCTAACATTCCACTTGCAATTTACTAATGGAAATGGTCTTATCCAGCCCAATGCACTGCCACCCCAACTTCTATTAAGAGGAATACAATAATCCTTCAGATAGCTTTCTTTATTTATAACAATCCTATATACTTTATAAATCATACATCTACAGCCAAGGTTACAAGATAAAATGCCTCTTACCCGGCAAGTTCCTATTTATCCATTTAACCTTCAGATCAGCTTATCAGTAACCAACTTTCTGTTTCTTTCTTTACTGTCACCAAAAAAAAGGAAAAAAAAAAGTGCTGTCCTGTCACTAAAAAAATAAGTGCTGTCCCTCTCGGATGACTCTGCAGTTTCTTTCTCTCTGGTATAAGTATTAGAAGGACTACAAAAAACTCTAAGAAGTTTTGAGCTGATTGCTCCAATAAGAAGATACATTTTTCCATGTAATAAAAGAGGTAAATTTTAACTTTCATCACTTTGTTTTCTTTATGTTTATTCCACTTGGCTTATACTGTTGCTGGGAAACCAATTCATAATAAGATTTCCAAGCACACAGAACAACCTCCTAGCCGGCCAATTTTGTAACCAGGGCAATTGGCGACCACACGAGGTACCGGCTGGCCAGCACCACACAGGTGCGCTCTCCCTGGCATCCCCCTTGCTCCATTTACCTAACAGGTACAGTAAGTACAGCCAATCCCTTCATTGCAACAGAAATTGTAGCACAGGGCAGATGGGATGATTAGAAGCGTAGAGCTCTCTGATGTCAGAGAACAAAGTGAATCTGTTGTCACTCCCTGTCGTCCCATCCAACTAAACATTCTGCGTACTTTGTCTGAAATTGTAGGGTGAAATGTTAGCCCAACCCAATCACCTCACCGGGCAACACTCAAACTACTCCCAAAAGCCATCCCCAACTACCGCCCGGATAAATATTTGGAGAGGAAGGAGGCATCAATATCTGCACAGTTCAGAAGAGTCGGAATTCTTAAGGGGCCGCTGAGTCACCTACAGCTGTGGCCAGGACGTCACCCTCCACGAAACCAGGCTCTGCCCCAACTCCCATCATGGAAGCAAGTAAAAGAGTAGCAGCAGCAACATCATCCTACCAAAAACACATCCAGCACCGCTTTTAATAGGGTTACCACTCCTTAAAGTGAAGCCAGAAACAGGTTTCGTGTCCAACGCTTTCCACCACAGTACACAACTTGGACAGATGGAAGAAACATCTTTATTGTGGGGAAAGGGGGCGCACTTAAAGGGATGAAGGATGCCTCAGCACTTGGAAAGTTACCGGCTCCCGCCTTAGCCCCAAAATGCCCCTTGTATTGCAACATGTGGCCCAGGGTACGTATCAGGTAATGCGGCTAACGGACACTGCAGAGCTTTTACGCCGGTGGAACACAGCAAAGCAGAGGGGGAAACATAAATCGGGCGCCATCGGTGAACACTCGGCAAGGATCTAAGTCTCCGTCCGGTGGGAGCTTCGGTGACACAACAATCACGTGTACTTGTCCGCAGACGTTCGGAAATATTCGATTCTGGAACGTGCAAGGGCTGAAACCTGCCGGCAGAGCAAGTACCGGTTGGCACTCGCGGCCGAGGCGGCGAGACTCCGTTCCAGCCCGAGGCGGGTCACACCTCCAGCTCCCGGTCCCGGCGACCTCCCGGAGAGAGGCCGGAGCTGGCGACAGGCGGAAGCCGGGCCGCGCTCCCCGCCCGCGCCCAGGCCGCCTCGGGGCGCGCCCCCGCCTCCCGCGGCCCCGGCCCCCAGACCCAGGCCCGGAAGGCGAGCTTCCATTTACCTGCTCCCCGCTCTGGCTCCCGCCGCCGCCGCCTCCGCGCCGCTCACCCAAACTGCCAGGTGAGCTACCCCAGCCGACGGCCCCGCACGCGCACACCCGGGGCACGACCCCAAACCCGTCGGGGGGACCGCGACCCCAGCACAAGTTGGGATAGCCCACGCACCACCCGGCTTCTAGCACCTCTGCCCCCGGAAGTTGATTTCCTCCAAGGCCCGCCCAGAGCTACGCCTGTCACTCAACGCCAACACGCGCGTCACGTGGCCCGAGCTGAGGGCCCCATCTTCAGAGCCACGCCTCCAATGGCTTGAGTGGTCCATAGAGGGTGGCCTTATGAAGGGGGGTGACGAAGGAACTACCTCTTGTTAATTACAGTTTCTCCTTCCTCTAGACTGACAGACCCAGTTTCCATGCCTAATGTATGCAAATAAACCATCCCCAAAATGATACTCCCATCTGGGAGTCTGTAGGACTGTTCCTGAGGAAAGCCTGCCTGATGTTTTCACCACCTCCAGGCAGGGTTCAATAAAAACGAACTTAGCCAAATGCCTGACAGGTAGTAAGTGCTCAAGAAACGGTTGACTTGGACAACTGCTCCATTTCATCTCTGCATATCTGAACACTCAAGCACCGGAATGCACCTAAGCCCAGAGCTTCTCCAGGCCATATGAGATAAGCCAAAGAGTCTGCTCAGGAATTATTTTTGTTCATGGCCTCAGCTCCTGATCACGGCAATTTATACATGCCATCTCTATTTCGGAGACACTTTATTTTCAGCTGCCAAGCCACCCACTTTCTTCCTAAGCCTTCAGTCAAGTAATTTCTCCTGAAGAAAAAGAAAAGAGAATGACATAACTGTCAGAGTTTTATTTCAAAGGAAGAGTGCTTATCTAGATTTTTTTTGTGTGTTCATATCAAAGTGTCAATAACTGTTAAAGAGAAACAGTCAACTAGCAAGTCACTTGTTGTGATTCTACCATCGTTGACATGGAAAGGATATGAAGAACATTTATTTGGCAGTTCTTTTTTTATTAAATGTCTACTTGGCCTACTGGGCTAAGTTATGACAATCTGAGAATGGATCAGATTCATTCAAGATGTTTGCCTTCAAGGAGTTTATAGTCTAGTGGGAAAGATAGACAAGTAAAATCTGGAAACTTTGAGCATAAATCTGGAACATTCACAGTCATTGTATAACAGGCATTCTTTAACATTTTAGATGGTTTTTTTTCCTCATCTTTCCATTGAAAAAATTGACTCAAGCCTTTAATAATCTCTGCTGTGTACTCGCAGTGGAAAATGTCAGCAAGTAATCCTAACAATTCTCCAGTAAGTGGAAGCTCAGGTGGTTCGTGAGGAGTTCCAATATTGAGCTCAAAAGTTACTCTTCTACACCCATTTTTTCTGTCATGTGTTTCTATCATGAACAGATTTCTATGATGGCAAATATGATGCTTTCTTACCCAAATTTCTTTACCTATCTACTAGACCACCAAGTCAAAGACCACTTTTCATTTGTTTATCTGTCAGTCTACTTCTTATTTATCTTTGTATATGCAGCAATATCATAGTATTTAGTGATTAAAAGAAAGGTATTCAATAAATGCTTCTGAAACTGAATATAATTACCTTTATAACATTTTGTGATATCACACCCCTTTCTGCGGGAAACCTCAGATGAGTTTCTGAGAGTTTTCTTTGATATATCTATGTGTTTCTTCTGTCCCACCTATCCAATAGTCAATAATAAACAGACTTAACGATAATAATGGAAACTAATATTTATTGAACATTTGCTATGGGCTGGCATAATTATTTTATGTGACTGTACAAATATTTTGAATTTGTCATAATTTGTCATAACACTAATCCTCCAAAGTAAGGCTATTAATATATTCACTTTTTAGATAAGGATAAAGAGTTACAGAGATTAATTGAACCAACTGGCAGAGCAGGATCCAAAGCCAGGTCTGCCCAGTGAAAGGATTTGTTTATTCACTACAACACACTGCCTCTGCTTTTCACATCATTTGTTTATCAGTGAATCCCAATTTCACCACCTCCGTGAAGTCTTTCTCCCCCTTCACACAGTAATTTGTGCTGTTTCTTTTTTATTAAGTATAAACTCAGTTGTTTTTAATATACTCCCAGAATTTTACAACCATCACCACAATCAACTTTAGAATATATTTATCACCTCAAAAAGAAACCTTGTACCCTTTGTCAGTCACTCCCAATTCCTCCAGTTCCCTACCCCTTGGGCCTAGACAAGCACTAAACCACTTTATACCTTTTTAGATTTGCCTATTCTGGACATTTCATATGAACGTGATCATGCAATATGTAGTCTTTTGTGACTGGGTTCCTTCACTTCACATCATGTTTTCATAGTTCATTTAACCATGCGTCAGTTGGTGGACATTTAAGTGGTTTCCACTTTGGGGCTATTATGAATAATGCTCCTACGAACGTTCATATACAAGTTTTTTGTCAACATAACGTTTTCATGGATATATATACCCAGGAGTAGAATTGCTGAGCCATTGCTAATTCTGTTTAACCTTTTGAGAAACTGCCAGACTGTTTTCCATAGTGAAAAACATTTTACATTCTCACTAGCAATGTGTGAAGTTCCAATTTCTCCATAGTGCTTCTTCTTCTCTCCTCCAGAACTTAAGTGTATTAGAATGTATGGCTCTGTTACTTTAGGACTTATGACTCTATTACTTTTCAGGGTACTTTTCATAAGCCATCTTGTATTATTATTTACCTTTGTTATGTATATATCTACAGGCCCATGACCCTAATTGATTGTGACCTTTTGAGATGAGAAACATGGTTCCTGCCCTCAAGAGGATGAAGTTTGGAGAAAAATGTAGACAATCATATCAAATAGTGTGAGGACAAACCCTGAAATCAAGGTTATTGTTAAAATATGGAGGAGGAGCACCTCATTCAACCTGCGTTATAAAGGAAGTACTTCTCAAAAAAATGTAAAGATCAAGATGAGTCTTGAAGAACCAGTATCGGAATTGGCCAAGGTAAGAAGAGACAAAGATGTTCCACACAAAGGCACATGTATCTCTATATGTATCTCCTTGCCTGTCAACTATAGAGGTAAGTATAGTGTGTAGGTAGGTTTAGTGGAGACAAAGGTGTGAATGTGACAGGAGAAATGGGAACTGTAGATGGATCAAGAGGGATGGAGAATTTTACAAACTGCTATGGAGTTTGAAATCTATCCTGTAGGCAATGGAAAATGAATGGATTGGTTAAGTGGGGTTGGGGAGAATTACTTTAGCAGCAGTGCGCAGGATGGATTATTAGATCGGGAACAGGTTTTTCTCTGGACAAACAGGGAAAGAAGACTGAGAGAACAACTAGAATGAGGAATTGTGGAAGCCTGAGTTGAGGTGGTAGCCATGAAATTGGCAAAAAGGATTTGAAAGGCATGTGGGCAGCAAAATCATAGGAAAGAACAGAAGATGTATTCCAGGTTTCTGGTGCTATTCAAAGAGGTAGGGGATTCAGGAGGAAGGTGCTCACTTGCTGATAAAAATAATGAAACACCACAACTTGGGACCGTTGCAGTGTCTGTGCAGTGGCGGTCACCCACAGAAATGAGATGGATGCCCACCTGAAATCTGGCTCATATTTCAAGACTTCTAATGCTAGGATGCCTGGTGGCTCAGTCAGTTAAGCGTCTGACTTCAGCTCAGGTCATGATCACGGGGTCCGTGAGTTCGAGCCCCGCTTCGGGCTCGGTGCTGACAGCTCAGAGCCTGGAGCCTGATTCGGATTCTGTGTCTCCCTCTCTCTCTGCCTCTCACCTGCTCATGCTCTGTCTCTCAAAAATGAACAAACATTTTTTTAAAGTTTAAAGAAAAGACTTCTGGTGCCACACATGCACCAAGAGGGGGTAAGAAGGTTTATTAGACACATAATGAGACTTTTTTAGGAAAAGCAGGGTAGGCTTCCCAAACAAATCCAAAATGGCTGCAAGAAGGATGGAAGGAAGTTGGAAGAGAGACTGGTCTTTAGGGGTTTTATGGTGGCCAGGGTGTGGTGCTAGGGTGAAAATTCCTACATAGGGGCCGGGCTTGTGTGGCTTGAAATTTCTCACTGGCACCAAAGACAGGAGCTCCCAGGCTTCCTCATCAGCCTGCCCAGACATAGTGCAAGAGGGAACAGATGAAGGCTTGGAAGTTGTCCACCTTCAAACACCAAATAATGGAGTCAGAGTCTTTACTACATGTGTTTAGAGGTCAGTTTTGTTTTGTTTACTCCAACAAGAAAATAATGTAATTGTTATATCTTTATACGCTTTGAAAATGATCGTAGTGGACACTTGCCTTCTCAAAATCTATTCCACCCTTCCCATATTGTGCAGCACACACCTGAGAAATTTGGGTGGAATTAACCTCACCTTTATCCCAAAGTGAATCTAATCAGGATAACCCTGACCTATGATGTTCCCTTAGCCACACATGGTTTGGGATTGAGCACCAGTCATAGGACTTTTGCCTCAAAATTGTGTAATATGGCTCCCTTTCTCTCTCTTGATGTGAATGAGAAAACGTATGTTCCTTGTTGCCGAAGGCAGTCATCTTGTGACCAAGAAAATGAAAGAGAAATGGAGCTGAAACCCTGATCAAATAAACAAAGATCTATAACATTGTATATAAGCAAAAGGATGTAAAGTACAAACTGTGAAATTTTTAAATAAGCACTTTTCTGGCCCCTTCTTCTCCCTACACTAGATTGTTCCATTATGTGAGCCTTCAAATCAAATCAGCATGGAGTCTGATCGTTTTTGCTACTATCTTCAGTATTGAATACTGAATAGTATAGTGAATGTTGGTTAAGTCAGTTTGAATTTGTTACTATTATACTTTCCCTCAAAATACTTTCCTGTACATAATGTGATATAAATGTGCACATATGTGTTACTTACTTTATCCTCTAATGGTTGTCAGTTGCCATAATCTAGAGTTTGCACTTTAGATGTATTTAGCTGGCATTTAATCAGAAAGACTGCATTCCAAACATAGCAACAATAAATGCTTCTGCTATCATTATCTTCCATTAACACCTGAGGCTTTGCTAATCAATGGATATTATAAACAGGTTTTCATAAGTGAAATTATGGGTTTCTCTTAGCATAACAGAAGTTATAAATTGACTCTCATTATGAACCACTGGTGTTCGTGATACATAGATTGAATAAAATATTTCAGAGACCGTCTCTACCTTGCATGACCAAGGTTATAAGAAGCTAGCAAGCTCTGTAGTCTACACTTTTAGTAACAGCACCCTTCAGATTCTCAAACAAAAAAATCTCCAAAATCCTAATAATCTTCAGTATTCCAAGGGATGGACTAGTTTAATTTCTGCTTAACTAAAGGAAGAATCATGCTCATTTTGGAGGTGACTGGAGACATCATGATTATTATGGAGACAGGGAATGAATTATTTGTGCCCTTCCCTCCCCAGTGCAGATTCATTTCTTAGAATATCCCCAATGCAGATGGCATTAAACTGAGACCTCAGTATGGTCCGTTAAAACTAAATTTAGACTGTCAGAATGTGAAGTGCTACTACTAAAGAGGAATTCCAAGATATAAAAACTTGGACTACACATGGCTCTGGCCATAGTTATTTGCTTACAGAAGTAACAAGAAGCAACTAGTTAAAAAAACTAATATTAACAGGAAGTTATATCGTTAAATAAACCTCAAACCTGACTGATAATAACTTGTGACTATTTAATCTTTTAAAAAAATTTTTAATGTTTATTTCTTTTCAAGACAGAGAGAGACAGAGTGCAAGCCAGGGAGGGGCAGAGAGAAAGGGAGACCCAGAATCCGAAACAGGCTCCAGGCTCTGAGTTGTCAGCGCAGAATCCAACGCGGGGCTTGAACCCATGAACCGTGAGATCATGACCTGAGCCGAAGTCGGACACCCAACTGACTGAGTCACCCAAGTGCCCCATAATCTTAAACCTCAGACTTCTACATGCAACCTAATAGGAAATAAGCTGCCAAAATAGTGTAATCTCTTTAAAAAAGCATCTCCCCCCAGTGACCATCTCAGATGGGGCCATGAAGAACACCAGGAGCAAAACAGTACCTTGCCAAGAACCCATACCACTGCCCTCCAGGAGTCCTAACTACTACTACTGTCTACAGATTATGACAAAGATCAGTGACTACTATGTAGTGTTTCCAGATACACTCTGTTTAATTGGGAGTTTTCATTGCAATTACTTTCTCCTTTCTCTTCAATTTGTTGGGAGTAGGGAACTTGTCACTGGTTGCTAGAGCATAAGGAGCTCCAGATTACGCTAAAACACTTTGCAGAGACAGAAAGAAGGTGCTCACTAATTACAGTGCTGGGTGAGCAATAGGGTACACTACAGTGGATGTGGTAGTTATTATCCAAACATGCATTTCACTCTTCCCCCATTGTGTAGTATTCAGATATATTGGGTGAGATTAACCCTAACTTTTTCCAAGATTAGTCCTAAGTGGTGTAAGCCAGAAGTTACTCCCAAACCCCTTGCCACAGTGAATGGGGCAGGCACACCCAGTCCTACGTCAATCATGGCATTACCCTAACCGTATGAATTGCTTCAAGGATCATCCAATAAGCACAAAACTCAGGACTATTTTTCAGTGGTTGTTGGAAGGATCTTTCTGTCTTCCTGAGAATCTAAGTGAAAAAGCATGTAATTCCTATGCTTGTAACAGTCATCTTATGACCATAAAAGAAACCAGTCTGAGGATAAAATAGATACAGATTATAGAACTAAGCTGATATAATTCAGAGAAAGGGAGCTGAAGCTTCCATCAAATCAGTTCTAAAGCTTCTCTCACCTCTATAGGACTTTTCATTTACCTAAACAATTTTCATTTATTATTTAATCCAGTTTGAATTAAGTTTTCTGTTACTTCCAATCTCAAGAGTTTTAGCTGGTAGAAAGATTTTGTATTTCTATCTTTATATTAAGTATCAGAAAATGAATTGTCATTTTCTTAAAATGGGAAAGAGCTTTATCCTCCTTCTTCCCTTTCCCTTTGTCTGTGTTCATCCCAGAGTGAGATTGAAAATGACGTACTGTCCCTGAGCAGTTCTTTAAGATTCATATGATACTCAGCTTTCACATTAAACCAGTGGAAATTATTTCAAATATGTATTTATAACAGTATATATAAAATATGGAAAGAGTAAACTATGAAGGTCTTCAATCAGGCCCCTCCTCTAAACAGGTCTCCTGTGAATTATGTGCAGCATCTAACCCACTTATGAAATCTCCATTATATAGGAGATACGTGATCCCTAACTTACACTCATTTGCAAATTGCCACTAGCCACTATTTTGTTGCACAGCTTGGCTTGATTTTTAACTGGGCAAAAATCACTAACTTAATGTCTAAAAAGCTTTTGCACAGTGAAGGAAACCATTAACAAAATGAAAAGGAAACCTACTGAATGGAAGAAGATATTTGCAAATAATATATCCAATAAGGGTTTAGTGTCCAAAATATATGAAGACCTTATACAACTCAATGCCAATATATATGATTAACAAGTGAGCAAAGGACCTGAGTAGACATTTTTTTCAAAGATATGCAGATAGCTGAACAGACTCATGAAAAAATGGTCAACGTCACCAATCATCAGGGAAATTTGCAAATCAAAACTACAATGAAATATTGCCTCACACCTATCAGAATGGCTAGTATCAAAAAGACAAGAAATAGCAAGTGTTGGTGAGGATATGGAGAAAAGGAACCTTTGTGCACTGTTGATGGGAATGTAAATTGGTGCAGCCACTGTGGAAAACAGTATAGAGGTTCCTCAAAGAGTTAAAGATAGAAGTACCACTGTAATGTAGCAATTCTACTTTGGAGTATTTATCTGAAAAAAAATGGGAACACTAATTGGAAAAGATACCTGCAGTTCCATTTTGTTTTAGCATTGTTTATAGCAGCCAAGATATGGAAGCAACCTAAGTGTCCATCAATATCAGTAGATGAAT